AGACCAGGAAAATGTTCTAATGGATGTTGAGATGGATCAGCTATTGGGTCTCTTCCAACACTGACGATTCTTTGGTGCGTTTTACCGGTTGGTGTTTGATCCAAGATTTGTAAACCTCCAAGTGAACCAGAGATAGAAGCGTTTACTGCCAAAGTAGCTTGTATGCGAGCGTCACACATCGTAGCTGTGGCGATTTTCTGACCAACCAAGTGATTATCCTGTATCACTGCCCTTAAGAGAAGCACATTCAGTCTATGAAAATCAAAGGTTACTTCTGTCCTGGTGGAAACTTTTGACTCCATAGTTTGGCTTGAAAGGGATTCTTGTCTCTCAATGTATCCTGGTTTTATCTTCCTTTGAGAAGGGAATATCCTTTTAAAGAATCCCATTAGTTCTACAATGGTCTCCTGATTAGCGATAATATCCAAGTTGTTGAACTGAATATTGGCTACTCTCAAAATCTCTAATGTATCATATACTAAAGTTAATTCAACTACTATCAAAGCTTCAGAATCCATTTTCTCCAATTCGATTAAAGAATTATTCCTGGGTGATTGCGGATTCTTCGCTTTGCTTGCTAGATTAGACAAAGCATTGGTCAAAGCAACTGGAGAAGTCAATCTCCTTGGCATATTGAAATCGGGAGAACCAGGAGAGACTGGGGAAACAGGTGATGTTGGTTCCGAATCTCTTAAGCTCCCAGAAATACTGTCCATCCCTACGTGTTTGTGACTGGCTACTAATAATTCAAAATCCGGACCAAATTCCTGAAGAGCATCAACGAGAAGCAAACCATGGACAGATAGGGAAACATTGATATCTGCAGACCTTTTGCTAAAACCGGCTCGGACTCCAGAGACCTGAAGTTCTGCTACACTACGGCCTCTAGATTGCAACTCGAAAGTCATCTGATCAATAATGAATTGAACCATAACTGCATGGCTTAAAGATTTGTCTAGGCTCTCTTCTTTCTTAGGACTCTCTGGTTCTATACTGATTACATCAGCCTGAGAAATTCCTGTGGATTTCGAAAAGCTAGATAATAAATTATACATCAGTCTAATTGCCTCCACCTTCTGTTCATTAACATGAACCACCAGTCTTGGCAGATTCCCAGATACAGTCACGGATGGCAAATTCGGATCAGAGGAAGCAAACACTCTTCGTTCAATTTGCAAGGATATGTTGAAACGTTCCAGAACGTGCAAACTAGACATCCCCCTGGTTCGTATGTGTTTCCAATTGTCCTTCACTTTCCCTACGAGAATCTGCAAATCCACCAGATCGATAGTATAGTGGTCGTACAGTTTCTGATGCAATGCTGTCTCAGAAATGGTCGGGAAGTCTTGTATGGAACCATTTTCTTGACTTCCAGGCGGTGTCGAACAAGGTGTCTCGAATCTTTCATCTTCATCGTCGCTATTTAGTTCAGGAGAGTTCGATTTAATGATTACTTCGTTATTTTGTACGTTATTCGACAAGTGGAGCTTTCCGAAATCTACAACAACCACCGCAGCATTGGAATCGGTAAAATTCTCAACTAGTAGAATCTGTGGTGCCGATATATTGAACTGCAAATCCCAGGATGAGCGATATACCAAATCTCCATCTAAAATCTGTTCCCAGTTCTTGATGAGTTGTCTTCGAGTTCGTCGCTTCATTGCTTGAAACCTTTGATTGGTCGATGATCTATGTGGTTTGCACATGAAGTCTATAAGCCAATGTATCACTGTAGGGTTGTAAACTACATCTAATGACTTTGAATTCACTTGCAGCAAATGATCAGCATTTAAGTGCAATGGTCTTTTTTCGTAAGTCATTTCAAAGAGTTGTTGAGGTAATTGATTGGTTAACTTTTCTGAAGAACCACGTACTCTAGAGGTTATTGTGGGAATTATTTGAGGCTGCACCAAAATCGGGAATGTGGAATTCTCTGTGAGATAATCGTGAAGATACAAGGCTCCCAAACTGATAAAGAATTTGTGAGATCCATATCTGGGCCTCGAATCGTAACTCAAGTTTACTCGTTCGAACTGTAGCTCTATAACCGCTTTCGTATTCTTGCCATCATTCTTCATCGTACAAAGGGAAAAAGCGCCTTTAGATAAAGCAAAATTGAACTGTCCAAACACCGTATCTCGACGTAACAAGGTGTCATCATCTATAGTGTCTGCCAAAACATCCAAAAGCTCTCCATCAAATGTAGAGGATGTACTTTGAGTGTTCGTGTTTGAACTCTTTGAATACCAGCCCCACCACTGTGGAAACCACTGCTCCAACATTCCTCTAGGTTGTGGTACATTTACATCAGAATTTTGAGGTAGTTTTGGAGGTTTAACTCTATACATTGCTACTTCTCTCAGTACTCTCAATTCATCGAAACTTCGTTCGTGTTCTATCTTTTCTTTTAACTGTTTGATATCTGGAGGTAAGATACTAGTTGGTGTTCCTATAAAATGACACTGATGAGTATCAAGAAGCAATGAAATGGTAGGTTTCCATAATTTTTCTTATATACCTAGCAATTTAATGTAACTCTCTACATATAAAATGTTCTCATTGCCTCTTTGAAGGATATCTTTCCATGATGGTTTAGGTTTCAGAGCGTCTTTTCCGAGGTGACACCTTGCTGCATACTTCCACCATTCCCTTGGAGCAGCAGACACACTAAGCAATGGACGGCAACATCTCTGTTGCTTACGACGTTCTATATCTTTCAATTCTCTTATACATTTAACTATTTGATCATATTGTACCTAACAGAAAGTCACTTGCAATATAAGGACTTTAAATAGTGAAATCAGATATATAGTCCTAAACTTACATCTGTGAGACATAATGGGACATCATCTAATAAAAGATCAACAACCATTCTAGGTTTATTCGTAGATCTCAATGGTCGTTCAGACCTATCTCTCTTGATATGAGCTCTTGCATTAACAGGTAATAAGATGTGGTTCTTTATTATATTGTTTGACTCGCTCATGGCAATCTGAGAATGAAATTAATTTCAAAATTATTGGCTAAATTATTTTAATTAATTGAACTAGGTATATAAAAAACAATATATACAGCTAAATCACCGAGATTAAGAGACCCAAGAAATTCATCTTTTTTCATGTGATTCCAATAAATGGAAAGCCTGTCAAGTTCCATGAGCTTGAAAGAAGCATCTGTGAGATTCCAGGACGTAGAACCAGGTATCCAACTAGCATCACAACTTTGTGCAGTTAGAGCTCCTATAGTTACACCAAGTGTAACACCAGTACCTATTAATCAAAATTATTTTCCAGTAATATATTTACCATTACTTTATTTATCTTATTAAATAAGAAAACTTCTTTCACCATCTGACAATGTCACACCATCTTCATATCTTATGTGAACATCCTTAATATTGAGCTGTAAATTTTCAATAATATTTGTGATCAAGGAGGTGCCATAATTTACCCAGGAACTGTAACTGGTGGCATAATAACCAGGATCTCGTTCTGTATCTGTTCTCCATCTTGCTTCTAATGAATCTAGTCGATTCAACTTATATTCTAAAATTGCCTGTTCTTCTGTTTCACTATCAAACTATGAATACAATTATCTATAAACATATAGAACTGGAAATATACACTGCAGGGAAATCACAGATCATATACCTCATCCAAACTGATTGGCCCAGCTACCAAATAAAGTTGCTCTATTACTATGACCCATGAAGCTGTTCTTATCTGACGAACAGGCACTTGTAATCTTACTTTACCAATAAATCCTGCCTTTATTTCCACTGGTAATCCAATATGACGCAAGGCCTCTTTCTTTAATGGCAAATTCTCTAATTCAACTTCACCTAAAATAAGATATTTTCATTTTACTATTAAACTTCATTGAGTGAATACTATTAAATTTCAATGTACGCTTAAGGAGATTTGGTTTGAAACTAAATAATCCTATCTAACAAGCAGTGATATAATGTACAACTAAATCTAAATTTTTAAATAATATAAGGGAAGTAGTATCAGCGAGGTATTTCAATAAAAATAAATTCTTATATTACATGAATACAATTAAGAAAGAAAACATAACCTTACCAGAGAGTAAGGCGATACTCAGTTGATCAGTATTTAAATTTTCCACGTATTTCCCGAGATAATTATTTAACACCCAGGCAACGAGTCCTTCCAACATTTTGAAGGATTGTAAAGTTCCTTAACAGCTACAAGGATCACCTTATATACAAAAGCAGGCATAAGTATATTCTGTATAGGTTATATTCGTCGAAGTTTCGTTCAGATTTTCGAAACTCACGATGTAATAGCGATTGTGGATCGTACGATCGGCGAGATATAGCTCTGCTCGAGCAAAAGTAACATTTTTTACATCAAAATACTATTTCTTTTATTACGAAAGCCACGAGATCTCCCGTTAACGATACAGATCATATCAAAGAAGCTTCATCGATCGTGAACACCATCGTGCCGAATGTACAATTTCGACATCACGTTAAGAACTTTGAAACTTGCGATTATTTATAACGAAACGCAACTTTTTTTCTGCAATGTAAAATTCTGATCAAATTGCGAACTATGTAGGAGGGGGAACAACGTTACGTATATTATTAGTAGAATGTATAAATATTTAAGCGATTATAGGTAATTTAAATACCAAATATATATTAAATATTTATAGTAAACTACTCGTTATACCGTTCAGAAGATAAAGAACATACAAATATAAATTTGTATACATGAAATTGTATTTGTATACGTTAAATACATTAACATCCATAGCCTAATTCTTTAACTTTATTAGAATCATTCATTAAGATCATTAAAAATGTTAATGGAAGAACCATTAATTGTACTAATGAAAATTGAACATATTTGTTTATACAGAATTGAAAAAATAATTTTTATGCAACTTGCGTCTGAACATCTTGAATTGAGATTTATTAACCAATGAGAGCTCTATTTCCGAATATTTCTCTGTATATATAACGAATCTGTTGTATTCACAAATATAACTGAAAGAAAAAAGATTTGATTAGATTTTTTTCTCTCATTTATTACAGAAGATATAAAAACCATCCTCTTAAAAAACTTCAGATGTAGCCATCATGTGAATAATTAATATACATATCTTCTATCTTGCCCTTCATCTCAGTTTCAAATGTTTCATTAAATAAATACAAATCTATTGTCACAAACTTAAATATGGAACATAAATGCACTTTAATGATAGGTCTGACTAAACACCTTCCTATTCTCCTTAGAAACAACATAATTAATTATCTCGTACGTTTCATTAACGTTAAATTTATTCAGCCTTCGGTTTTGTGTCTTCTTTATAATGTAAGAACACCAGAGAAAATAAGAACACACCGCCCATCATTGAAAACGCACTTATATAATAAGGGAATGCACTGGGTATGAAGCGTTCATATTGAGTGTGTTGCAGGGGACGAACAGATACTTGAGTGGTACTATACAGATGCGTCAAACCAATGCGGGTATAATCTACTTTGAACTGATAAACTCCGTAAACGTCAGGGATCTTAAATCTCGCTTCATATCGACCATCGCCTACGGGTTTCATGGTCATACGAACGAAAGGATCTATTCTAACGAATTCTAATTGTAAATCATTTGTTTCATAAGGGATCCATTTGTCTCTTGCTAATTTCTGAATTTCGATAGAATAAACTACATCATCCATGATAGTATAAGCTGCTGGAGGAGCAGATTCTCCAACTCTATGGTGATGAACAGTGGAGACACGGATCACACCATTCTCCTTGAACACCCAGCGAGCGATCATCGTTGCTACGGCTTCATTTCCAGATTTCTCGTATTTTTGGCCACCTGTACACCATTTTTAATGTTTAATACATGATCACAAGGAAGAATTATAATATGTAACTTATTCTTTTTACCTTGGACTTTCTGAATAGAACTGGAGAAAGCTTCATCACTAAAAAAGTACAATGAACCAGAGAATACTACTCTGGCATTATTCCTTGCTTGTAGAGCAGCAATCAACAATGTATTTTTGCCTACTGCATGTGGATACTCCTTTATGGGAGTCTGCGGATTGTAAGAGTATGCTGAACTAGATGCTGTTAATAAACGTAGAATTAAAGGATTTTCTATATCTGCAATCAATCCAGTTCCTTGGTAGAGTAAAGGTGGTACGTTTTTACTTCCAACAATTGCAGAAGCATCTATTAAATTGACAGAGTCTGCTACTATTTTTGTATGGTAACCATTATCAGAAACATCATAATTTAAATGATCAATGACCGCAGAACCTTCTTCATCAATTTCAAAACCACATTCTGAAGCTAATTCATGAAGAGCATCTCCAGACTGAGATGAACCAGCAACCAAGACATTACCACCACCATCAATGAAGTCCGTTATTGCTTCAACACTCAATATTCCTCCAAACTCTTCCACAGAAGGGGCAAATATTATTAAATGCTGATACAAATATTCTCCATACTTGGAAAGCTGTAGATTAGCATCATCTGCTAATTTAAATGTTAACGTGTATCCACTATCTACAAAAATTTTTTAAATTACTAACAACCTAACCTCAAATATTTTGTAAGATATACCATATCTGTGTAATTAAATATCATATAGTACAATTAGATACGTTTAATGTTGTCATAATTCGAAAAAAAAATAAGGAAGCTTAAGGTAATTGGCAATGAATGACATTTCACTGAATTTGATAGCTAAATGTTTACATACCCTGTAGAGTCTTGAAAAATATGGAATGTGTTTCTTTTATGGCTAAATTATCGAGTAAAACCAATGTAGGTCCCCCAGCATTCGTTACTCCGAATATTGTAACAAAACAAAGAAATTTGTTTATAAATCTCATTATAAATTATACACAATATCCTTGTGCCACGAGACCGGTTCTATTATCTTAAACAAGCGGCTCCATTTACAACACGTAACCAAACGGAAGTTATCCACTTTGCGGAAATGATATGTCTTATATTTTGAAACATATGGATTGAATTTATTATTTAGTATTATCTGGTATTACTCAATTTACTAATGATAAAGATATTTTCTTTTACTTAACATATGTATTAGTATATATTACTATGTATATGTGTATGATGAATAGTATTAAATATAAATTATACTGACATAACCTTACACATTAGAATCATAATACTTAAAACACATCATCAAATATTTTCTTATACCCAAATTATATTTAGATGTACATTATTATATTATACATATATAGCGTATGACATGCAATGTTAAATATATTACTGATATAACCTAAAACGTCAAAATTTTATAATATTTAAAATCCCCGCCAGAAATATCAAAATGAATTCTGAATCATATTTGTGGTGTATCAAGGCGGATACGTAACAGATAGAAGTCTTGCGTACAAAATGATAAAGAGATATTAATTTTAGCAAATTACAATCTTGATCAAGGATTCATGAGAATAACCAATTAATTTAAGTCATACGTCATAAAATATTGTATACAATACTATAGAGTCATTCTCGATTCAACGATCCTTCGTGAAGTTGGCTTGAATAATTACAAATGAAGATACTAGACTAATGACGTTAGCAAAAAAGCAAGAAAAAATTTTGTTTACGTATAAAGAAAGTAGTTTATGTGGGAAAAATGCACGTATATATAATACCATACAAGTACAGTGATCATTATCACGCATGCTCGAATGCGTTTTAAATGTCAAAACCGTGCGAATTTATCCACATTTTATTCGCATCGAGAATCGGTGAGATTATCCCAACTGTAGAGTTCGCATAAGTAATGTCTTTGCTGCGTGCCCTGCACGACTATCAAAGTGCTATGGCCAAACCGTGTTACAAGCTGAGAACTTCTCTCTTCGGACACACATCCGACGTGAGAGCTATAGCGACTTTCGCTGACGGAACTATAGTTTCTACTTCGAGGGATGAGACTGCACGTATTTGGAAATCATGCGGGTATTTAACCTGTTTAAGTATTTTACCACACCAGACTTTTTCATGATCCCAAACAAAATTTTCTATGTAAATAAGTAATGAGATAAAAACTTGTTTTATAAGATCCTCTTTACTTTGTAATAAATTTGTATATTAATATATGTGACTTGAATAAATACGCTATGAAAATATGAGCTGAATTTAGAACAATAAAGTTCAAGCCATCATAAAAGAGTTTGTCATTGCAAAAAAATTCTTTTTTCTTATTCTATGTAAATCGTACTTCTTATACGAATGTATATTGTATAAACATTTTACAGGAATAATAAAAATTATGAACATACTGCAACTTTGAAAGGACACTCCAACTTTGTCACTTCTGTGTGCGTTATAAATCCTTCAGAGCAAAACCCCATAGGTTTTATTATCACTGGTAGTCATGATAAAACCATACGTATCTATGTTTCACACCAAACAGAGCCCATAAACATTATAAAAAGTCACCAGGATACTGTTTGTAAATTAACAACTGGTACAAAAGAAGGAACATTCTTGTCAAGTTCCTGGGACATGAGTGCAAAATTGTGGAGCCTGAGTGACTTAAGTAAGCCACAATTAAACTTGCTAGGTCATACAGCTGCTGTATGGTGTGTAGCAGACTTGTCAAGTGGATCTATTGCAACTGGATCAGCAGATAAGCTTGTTATAATATGGGCAAGTGATGGTTCAGTACAGCACAAATTAACCGGACATACAGATTGTGTTCGTGATATTTCTGTAATAAGTAGCAATGAAGTTTTATCTTGTGCCAATGATGCCACTGTACGTCATTGGAACGTGTGTCTTGGAACTTGTTTAGGAACTTATTGTGGACATGAGAATTATATCTATAGCATTTTAGCCTTAGAAAATGGTACAAGTATATTTACTTGTGGCGAAGATCGGACGCTTAGGATATGGCATAATACAGAACTAAGTCAAACCATTACTTTACCCACCCAATCTGTGTGGTGTTTGGCTTCACTTCCTAATGGTGATATAGTTACTGGAAGTTCTGATGGAGTTGTTAGGATATTTACATGTAATCCTGAAGAATATGCAGACCCAGAGGCATTGGAAGAATTTGAGCAGCAAGTAGCCAGTGTTAAGCTTAATGCTCAACAAGAGCTAGGTGGGATCAAAGTTAAGGAGTAAGTGAAGTAGCTGAGAAATGAATCAAATTATAAATAATAAGCTAAAATCTTAATTTATATGTTGACAGTTTACCAGATGCAAAAACCTTGCTACAACCTGGCCAAAGAGATGGTCAAACCAAAATAGTAAATGATGGAGATGCTGTAAGAGCATATAGCTGGTCACAAAATGAACAAAGATGGATAAAGATCGGTAACGTCATGGGTGCTTCGGGTGGTAGTGTAGCTACATCTGGAAAACAGCTTTATAATGGCATAGAGTACGATTATGTGTTCTCTGTGGACATACAAGATGGCGTTCCTCCATTAAAATTGCCCTATAACAATGATCAGGATCCTTGGCATGTTGCGCAGAAGTTCCTTCACGATAACAGTCTTAGTCAATTATTTCTAGATCAGGTATAAAGCTTGAGATAGATGCTTGTTTTTTTCGATAAGAAATAATTTTTATGGCAATTTATTTTCATTTATAGGTTGCAAATTTTATAATAAAAAATTCTCAATCCGCACCAGTTATGAAAACTGATGCTCAATATGCTGATCCTTTCACAGGAGGCAGTAGATACATTCCTCAATCAACAGCAAATACAACATCACAAGAATCTACAAGACCAGACACACCAAACTCCTCAGACACAACCGCACCGTCTTATATTCCTCATACAAAATACTTGAAACTGGAACAGGCTAATCTTTCTCAAATTTTAGGTACTTTCTACTACTTTTATCTTATACATTTTTATAATGAAATAAATTAATTAATTTTATACTCTTACATAGAGAAACTAAAAGAATTAAATGGCAAACAAAGTGATCCTCTCAAGGTGTCAAGTGACAAATTGGAATCCTTGGTGAAACTTGCTGGAGACCAAGCTCCTGAACAATTGAAAACTGATACATTGAACACTTTGAAGACTCTCTTGAATTGGCCAGATGATGTATTGTTTCCTGTGCTCGACATTACCAGGCTCGCAGTACTCTGTAGAGAAGTGAATGATGTACTATGTACAGAGGAGCTGCTACAGATTGTAAAGAAGCATATCGAATCTAACGCGCTTCCTTCCAACCAAATGCTTACTTTCCGTTTGCTGGCGAATATGTTCAGTCACGAAAGAGGTGAAAAACTATGTCTTAATTCTAAAGATGAGATATTGAAACTTCTATCAGAGTTGGAATCACTTACAAACAAAAATAATCAGGTATGAATAGCATAGAAGAGTAAAGATTTATATATTGGTATACAAAATTCATATTGTACGATTAGTTGATGAAATTAATTCGTTTGGGTATTTTCAGGTGGCAATTTCAACTTATATATTGAATTTAACTGTGGCTCTGAATAAATATAATGATACTCTCGGTAAAACACAATGTTTAAATGCGATCTTCTCTGTGTTACCACGTTTAAACGAGCCTGAAGCAGTGTTCAGAACTCTTGTTGCAATGGGAACGCTTTTAAGTACAACATCAAATTCAGAAGATCAAAATAACTTAATAAAAGCGGTACGACAATCGGAAGCTGCGTTAAATATACTTCAAACTATGTCAGAAATTCGAGTTCCAACAAACAAGCTGGCAAATTGTTCGAAACAGATAATCAGTTTAATTATTTAAAACATAAAATATATATGAAAAAGAAATTGAAAAAAAAAAAACAATTACACACGGAATCCAAGACTTGAAAACAGTTAAGTGTTGTAATTAACAAAACATTTCTCACCAATATTGCGTTAAATAGGTTTCTTATATTTTTTGCAATCTGATGATTTAAACATTATAATTATCTCATTGCTAATAAAAGTACATTTTGCCATATTTGAGAAACAATCTTCGTTCACCCAAAAAAGAAAACATGTCCCACTTTCTTCCTTCTTCTTTTTTTCCTTTTATAAAGATCAGTTGCTTTCATTTCAGTTCAGGTAAGAATAAGCTGTGTATTTTGAAATGAAAATTAATCAATTAAAATATATGTACAACGATGAATATAAAATAATAATTTATGTAATATACATAATATTTGATTAAATCGTTCGAGCGTTACGCCCGACAAACATACAACAGACAACAGTGTAATAGTAGAATATTGTTATTACATTAACGTCAAATATATATATATACTTTTTTTTTGTTTTCCCTAGTTGTATATCAATTTACCCTCGTGAGTGAGCCGAGAGCCGATTACAACTTTGTAGTTAATTACAATGAAAAATAATAACATTCACTGTGTACACTCATTAACTTCAATTATGCTCGATGAACAATACATACAATACACGAAAGATAGTTTTTTATCCTTTGTTTCTTTTTTACAGTATCATCAGGTAATTTGTGGCTCGTGGGAATGTGAATATGCGATTTTCGTAATCTTTTTTCGTTCTTTGCTTTTTTTCTTACAAAAATAATTTGAAATATATAATCTGAGATCTGTAAGACAATAGAAACAGTATTGGATCGTACAATTAAGAATTTTTTAGTATTTCAAATTGCTATACATCGTCGTATATGTGTAACTATAATTAATCAGTGTCTCTTCCTTTCTTCCATCTCTTATCGACGATAAGGATCACGACTGTCGTATATTTTTATAAACAAATTTCTTTATCAGAATTCTGAGGTATAATACGTGTACAATTTGTCTAATTTTTTCTTCGATTGATTAACTCATGATAAAATCAATTTTTTGTCAATTTTTTTTCCGTCCCATAACTCTTTTTTCTTCTTATACGTATTTACGACGACCCTGATTTTTTATCTCGGAAATAGAAGTTTCGGAATGCCCTATAGAAATGCACCGATCCATAAAGATGTACTTCTTAATCGA